GTCGAACGTAGTTTTTGTGTCGGAGGGGAGGAAGGAGGTGATCCCGATGGTAGGTGAGGGGATACTGGAGGTCGGGAGGGTGCCGCGTAGTGTTGACGTACCTGAGCTGGTGGTTGGCAAGAGGCCGAGGGTGCCATCACAGTACATCGTTTCTCCCTTTACCATGGAGGTCAAGAAGATGATGTTCATCAATGGCACGTACCCCAATTTATTTAAAAAGGTGGACCACGCCAAGTGGAAAGCGTTCGAGACGGAATGGAAAGCAATTAGGCGCTGGCACATCTATACTTCTTTTAACAATTTCTTTTCTTATTTTTTCAGAGCCAGCCACAGGATTGCTCAGAAGATGATCTCGAACGCTTACAAGTAGTTTCACGACATCACCATGATGTAAGTGAAATAGTAATATTGTTATTTATTATGTATACATATTTTTGAATTTTGAATTTATGAAATTAAATAACTCATTTTTTAATTAGTGTTTCCTGATATAGCATATTGACTTCGCCATGGATTTGCTACGAGATTGAGCTGAAAGACATCCAAATCATTCAACATTCCTGGCCGACTTATATTGAACACTGAGTTCATACGTGCCATTAACATTGAATACTAGACACTCTCAGCTATAGGTAACGAGTACACGGTGCCTACATACATGATGGAGTGGGTCGTAGAGATGTGACTAAGTGTCGGGGGAAAGCCATGGGAGGGTTGTACACATCTGTACATATCGGTGTGTGTGAATCATCACTACATTGCAGTGGAGATTGTATTCGTCGACTCGACTATATATGTGTATGACCCTAATCATTCATGTCTGACACAAGGTCAGCTCGAGCAAAATTTGGAGTCAGTATTTGTGATTGTTCCCATGCTAGCTAAACGAGTGAACATCACTGTGTAGAGCAGATTGGCCACCATGCGAGACATGACGACGGCGAGGCAGCAAATATCGTAAGTGTTTGTAATTTTTTGTATTTACAACTTACATTCTAGTTAGACGATAATGTGCTAATACAATATTGTTTAATTGTAGGGATGTTTGCGGCATGTTCGTCTTCAAGTACATAGAATTTTTGAATGTAGTGCAGAAAATTGATACAATCAACCTTAACATGGATACAAAATTGGAAAAATAAATTATCATGTGATTTATTTGAATTTAATGGTAATCTGTAAATATTAGAGTCATGCTTTTTTAAATAATTGTACATATTGTAATATTTAAATATTGTATATTTCATTCATTGATTTGTAATTACGAAATAATTGTAAAATGTATATTATTTATTTAATATTTAATTATCGATTTTGTAATTTATATGTTTATTTAAATGTTTTGTGAGGTATTTATAATGTTTGTGTATATTGAGGAGAACACACTGTATTTTAAAAAATCTACTTCAAATACTACGAAATTAATTAATGAAATATTAAAATAAAAAACTAAATCTAATAATTAACATAAATAGTATGCACAAATAATTAATATCAGTGTTATAAATAATGTTATATAAACTTTAATTACACATTTATTATGTTGTCATGTAGAGGGATCTGACTTGTACAAAATCTTCTAGTATGTTCTGTTGCACCGCACCTGCCGTACTTATGAGGTCGAAAAATTCTCTCGTCGATGATATTCTAGACGTACGTGTACATCCAGGAGTACGTGGGCCGACTGCTGGTTGCAACAAGTTATTTAATGAGAGAATGTGATCAGGAACTTTCCACTCGACTTCATTCGGTACATGAAATATGGTTTCGACATACGCTGCTCTCCAAGAACCAGTCGTATAATAAGCACTGCATAAGGTGTGTGGTGAAATTCCTCTTTACATAACCACTGCCACTGTATGTGTACATGAAAAACTTTCCAACTGAAATTGTCTATACGTTCACGTGTTATCATTCAAGTTGATAACATCTCACGGAGAAGCGAAACTATTCCTGTGGTTTTATATATACATTTCTCGTCACCTCTAGAGTCTTGAAGAGTTTATCTTCCTAAGTTAGGGTTAGCACACTTGTGCAACTCTGTGATTCCTAACATTGATCATGAAACCACTGTTGCAACTTGTCATGAATATTCTCAAGCACTGCGAGAATCGGTAACTCTCGATCCTTCTTGAATAAAGCATTGAGCGACTCCGCATTGTTCGACGTCATTATGTTGTATCGACGTCCTGAAAAATGTGATCATGTTCAATGTTCGATTTCCATCTTTGGTAGGTACTCCCATACATCATAAGATTTACTTTCTATTTCAACCATGAACTTTTCAAACTCTTGAAAACTGTAAGCCTCTGCAACTCTCCAAAACAACGTGACGATGCTCTTACTTCGATACTTGGTCTTTAGATTTCACTGTATATGATATATACATAACCATGATGTGCCTTTGGGAAAACTTTCGATGATTCCGTTAATTATTGACTGCCCTTGATCGGTTATGAATGCAAAGTTTTCGACATCCCCAATTACTTATCTCAACTTTGTGAAAAACCAACGCATCACCAGATCATTTTCTCCGTCGATTATGCCGAATGCAAAAGAGTAAATTTGGATGTTGCATCTTTATATGTTGTAAAAATCAACTTGCTCCCGTATCTCGCCTTAAGGGTTGTACCGTCAACTAGGATTAGGGGTCGCATTGCGTTTCGAAATCCTCGAACGCATTGTCCAACGGCATAAAAAAATACTTGAAGCGATTCTCGTCATATTCTCAATAAAAAATGTAAATCCAATATTAATTTTTTCCATATTATAGCAAAATCTGACCAATTTAAATGAACAATAATCATAATTTAAATAATTAATTAAATATTAAATAAATTGACAAATTAACAATTGAATTAAATAATTAATTAGACATTAAATAAGCAACTGATTAAATAATTAAATAAACAATTGAAATAAATAATTAACTAGACATTAAATAAACAATTGAAATAAATAATTAACAATTAAAATAAATATTAAATAAACATTTAAACAAAGAAATACCTGACCAATTTAGCATAACTTTACTCGGTTGAACCCATTAAGTCCTCCAATGTGCATTCTTTGGCCTTCCAAGCTTTCTGATAGCTTATGACCATCTCGTACTCTCGACGAACATCATTAATGATGTTCGAAGGTTTGTAGATCGTTCATGGGTCCTAAAACTTGTGCATTACTTCTCGACCAATGAATCATGATCGGGTTTGTCTGTGATCATTTCAACGAATACCCACTTCGCAAGTATGTTCCCGTGCATACTTACGAATTACAAAGAACTCATTCGTGTCCATTTTCGTTGCTCGCAAATGCCAAAGGTAACTGTTGTCAACGCAAACAGTTGTGTAAGTCGACTTGTTTGATTTCTTCACTTTAAACTTAAAATTGTGCTTCAAAGAAATTCGTCGAACAGCTTCCTGCAAATCTTTCTTCGCGTTGAACAGTTGCTCGACGTACAAATCATCATCATCGGGGACTACACGCGAACAATTAGAGGACCGTGCACTCGGTCCAGCCTGTGAGCTCCCACTCGACTCATGTGTCGACGGGATAAAACAATCAAATTCTTATTTGTAAAGTAATTATCTCTTTTGTTGTCTTGAACTACCGAGCAAATTCTGTGCGTAACAGTGAGATCATAATGAGGAGTACGGTCTCTGGAATAGCCACAACATCATCTCGAACTATCTCCACTGTGTCCCAAAACTCATTCACATTACGATCCCCTCCATCGAAATCTTCGTGTTCACATTCTTCTTTATCAAAGTTACGCAAATAAGAATCGCACGTTTCTAGTTCAATTCAATTAAAACCTTCATTTCAATTCCAGAAGTAATCATTATAGGTGGAATTGAAATGGATATATACTCGCCCATTAGAAATCTTAATTCCATGTCGTACTCATAGGGATCGACTTTGAGCAAGTTCTATATCTCATTATACATTTCTACATATGATGTACTTGATGTTAGCACAACTGCAGTATAATCATGTCTTTCACTCGTCCATTTCCACACCCATCAATCATTTTCATTCTTTTCAAATTCACCAAAGTAACAAATCGGGACACCAGTCGATCCCATATATGTATTAGGAAACATCATTTATTAAAAAAATTGTAATTAGGGGGATAAAAGGAGGAAAACAATATGCTAGGCACGACAAAAATGGAAAAAAAAAAAGGATAAAAATGGCTCGGAATGGTCTAGTCGGTAGTCTTTCTCCGCTTTTTCGATTTTGTGTTAGTTTTTACCGAACATTTTTGCTAAAAAAAAAAAATTATACATCCGTTTAAAACTGTAATAATTTATCCTTATAAAATTATACGTTGAAATAAGACTTAAAAATTCAAACAATGTACTAATTTAACTAAAACGAAATTAAAAATAAGTATTTATACTTACCAATTTTGAGTACCGGTTGTGAGTAATATTTTTTTGTTGAGCATTTGATAATTTTGTGAAATTTCAATGTTCAAGGAGATGAAGAGGAAATTCCTTTTTAACTTTGTTGGAGAATCTGATAAGGAAAGTGGGTTCGTTTTGAAATTTAAGTAGGAGTGTTTGGGTTTATTAATTTTTTTAAATGAGGGTATTATTGTTTTTTGAACAAATAATATGTTTTTGTAATTAAAAAATATAATAAGGGCAAAAATAATATTTAATCTTCAAAATTCCCTTTTGGTGAATGACAAAAAAAGGTTGGTTAATGTGGCAAAGTAGTAATTTAACTTGGTTAATTTGAAGCTCGTTTGGTACTCTTTTTTTTCAAAAATGTATTTTTCTCTTTTTAACCACACATTCTTTCTTAAAATAATATTACAGATAAATTAAATTTTATTTTTATTTTTCAACCATATATTTTTCATCAATTTAATATTTTAAATTACATTTTTACATAAAAATGTTCCAAGCACTCTCGAAAACTAACGAATGAGGCCCACTTATTTGTACACTTATTTGTATCAAAATAAATTCAATAGCGTTTTACTGTTTCTTTCCTATTTTTCTTCATGTGTAATCCCATTTTACCCTTTTACCCTTTGCAAAACCAATTGAAATAATTCCCAAAAATCAAAACTTTTTACCCTAGCCGCCGCCGGACCGCCGACCACCGACCGTCCTTACTGCCACTCCTGGTTTGCCGACTTCCGTCTCAGCTTCTGCCGACCACGAACCGTAAGTAATTTGCTAATTTTCCTCCGACTGTCCAACAAGGTTACAAGAAACTCTTTCAACTTTGGGGTTTATTTTTGTTATTCAGAAAATGGTTTCTCAGTTTTTTGGGATTTTTTTTTTTTTTTTTTTGTTTAATTGTAGGTGAAGCTGAATCATTTTGTCATTTTGATTACTTGAAGTATTGTGATACCGCTATTTGCTATTCTTACGGAGGTATCTGGATTTTTTTGGAAGTTTCTCTGTTTTGGGTATCTGGGTTTGTCGTATTTTCCGCTTGTAAGGTTGTTATGCATATTTTCAGAAAAAAATAGCTTAATTTTCGAGGTGAAAAATTTCAGTTCTAGATGGTTGTAGGAAGCTGATCATTTTGGGTTCATTGATTTTGAGCTTGTATTGAAACAAAGCTTGGATTTCATTTTTAATTAGAGAGCGTAGAAGGGAGTGGAGGGGTTAGGTTTGATTGTCCAGGCATTCACCCTTCATTATTTTCCCTGGAGACTGACCTCAAGTGGGATCGAAAATCTGATATGAAACATAGTTTCTGAGCCTGTTAAAAGCTCATTTTGTAATTATAATTATGGGTTTATGAATTGGTTAGACTCAGGTGGATTTATGGTATTTAAATAACATGGGGTTGAGAGATTGGCAAACTTAAGGGCGCCGGAGAGTTTTTCTTTTTTATCCTTTTGATGATCATCTAGCTGCTAGTGCTAGTTGGATTAGGTACTGATGGTTAGGAGTTGAATATTTCAACTACGATTTATAAATACCTTGTATTAGGCACTGAAGGTTGGGAGTTGAATAATTTAACTACAATTTATAAGTACCTTTATTATTTGTAATAGCTTTTAGTAGCTGGTTTGAAATTTCTTGTTTTGTCTCCTGTTTTATGGCTTTTCCTTGTAATTTAACATTAAAAACTGACCAGATCAAAACCCATGAACTGAGATTGATTAGCAAAAGAAATGATATTTTAGGGTTGATGATTTGATTACACAGTCTTATCAGGTTCCCAAGCTGAATGTAATTAAAGGTGAATAGTATTTACCTAATTATTTGAAACATTGTTGATTTTGTCATTTTATAATATAATTTTTTTGTATAATATATTTGTTTATTGTTTTAATATTAAGTTTTAAGGTAGCAATGTGTTGCACAATACACTATTGAATTTTGCATTTACGTTGATCTTGGGGGCCTAATTTATGGACTTCGTTTCGGGCTCGACAATTGCAGGACCAGCCCTGAATAGAGGTGAAGAAAATGGCAGTCTTACTTAGAAGAGCACTAATTTCTTATCGGCACATATCATTTGCTCTTCGAACCAGCTCTCTTCAATCCCACCGTTACCTTTCTTACTTAATTTCCACTTCTCCTTGCAATACGCACCAATCTGCCATAATTAGCAGCTTTTTGAACGCTCCAGCTACGAATTTCCTTCTATTTGGATCTCGAAGAGGCTTCGCCAAAGGAAGGAAACAACCAATCAGTAATGTCTCTTTCTCTTGTATTTTTGCTTTTTTGGACTCTTACTACTTTGTGTGAATTGATCTTGCGGTTTAGTACCATGATTTTATTGAATTAATTTACCTATAGTATGTATTTTGCTAGTGTACTTGTGTCTTTTAGAATTATTAATAGTCTAGTTTAAGCCAAAGAAGTAAAATTTCAAGCTTGGAAAGTGTAGCGTTTAGCATACATGTGAAAGCTAGTCATTTTTTTCTTTATTTCAATCTCGAAGAGGCATCCCAATCAAAGGAAACAACAAATCAATTCTCTCCCTTTCTCTTCTTTTTTTGATTTCTTAACACACTAATTTGTATTTGAATTAAACTTGTGGTTTACACAGCGACTATCTTACTGAATTTGTTTGGTCCCATACCTCTGAGGTAATTTACCAATAAGTATGTATTATGCTCGTGTACTTGTTTAGTTTTGAATTATCAAATTTGAAAGGATTAAGGAATAATGGAATTTAGTAGAAGAATGGATAAATGAGTGCTATCTATGATGGAGCCTCTTTAGCCCAGGGCACAAATGGTAAAAGAAAAATAAAAATCCTAATGTACTAATTTGCTGCCCATTCCAAATATGAAATTTTAGTCACCTCCTGTTATGAGTCGTTACCCTCTGTAATCCCATTATCTATTTTTATGCTAAATCAAAACCCAAAATCATTCAGGTTCCCAATTCCCTTTATTTCCTACATGTCCACAATAAAGTATATCACCATTTCATATATTTTTCACGATTATTGTGTCTGAGGATATGGTAGGGATTTTAAGTTTTTGTACTTACATTAGAGTTTTGAATTGAATATGCTCTTTTAATACTGCTTATAGTACATAGCTATCTCCTTCCTCTCAAATAGCCAACACTAGGTATCTGAGTCTTATTTATTTATTTATTTTTTTTTCTGAGATTTCGATGATCTTTTTCCATGAAAGAAAGTTTCAAGTCAATCCTAGTTTTTTTGGGCCTTTTGATGTCTGAAATGCAATTTTTTTTTTTTTTTTTTTTTTTAACTGAAGTTTGTTGGGATTTTTGAGTTACTGATGGTTTGATGGTTGATATTGTATCAGGACTCTGAATTCTGATATAAAGAAACTGAATATATTATTACTAGGGGTGATTCTTTTTCCTTTATTTGCTTAATTATGACCATTGATTTGAGAATGAGCTTCAAATAGCATTACTATCATCTGTTCTTTTATTGTTTTAAATTTTTTTTATTTTTAATTTTTTCAAATTCTATGTGCAGATGAGTTAACAATTTATGATTTTAAATTGTCATTGTTTATTTATTTTTCTGAGAGTACTAGCTTGATTTTGGTATTCGGCCACTGAAAAGGACACAAACATTTTTCTAAATTTTTGCCCAGTTAATCTATATTCAATGGGTATTTGGTTGGTTCTATATGATGTACAGCTTCTGGTCTTATATAGATGGAGTTGATTTACTTTACATCTGAGGTTTTATTTTATTTTTTTATTTTTTGAGAGGAGCAAGATGAAGATGAGGAAGAGCTGGAGGACACAGAGGAAGATGCAAACCTAGGGGCTAACGTTAAAGCTGCTTCAATCTCTCAAATGGAGTCAGCTGTTGATGCACTGTCACGTGAATTGGCTAAATTGCGAACTGGAAGGGCATCAGCAGGTACGATAATGACTTGCTAAGTTGTCATTGTATTGATGCATTTGCTTAACAGTCAATTCATCGGCTGAAGCCCTATGCCATGCTGCTTTAAACAATAACAGGAGGTTGTTTAGCATGCTGACCTTTTATGAAATGCATTTGTAGGGATGCTTGACCACATTATGGTCGAACATTTTGGTATTAAGACGCCTCTTAACAGGATGGCTGTTGTCTCGGTGTTAGACCCAAAGACCCTTTCCGTGACTCCCTATGACCCAAATGTAATATGTTATAACTTCATCCAGATCAGTGCCTTTATTTATTTTTCAGGTTATCTAGCTAAATTGGATAGTTGAGATTGACTGATCTTGCAGGCCCTAAAAGAGTTGGAGAAAGCTATAATTTCGTCTCCATTGGGTTTAAATCCTAATACAGACAACCAACGATTGATTGTACCAATACCTCCGTAAGAATTCTATTTCCTTGAAATAAGTTCTGTCATTTTATTTTTACTTCTAGGAGTGAGGTCACTTCAGCCTATCGATTAGAAACATTGTTGAGAAGGATGCTACCTTACTTTGAAGAGGGGAACAATTTCAGCTAATGCATCAGTTTTCACCCTTAAATTAAGTTGCTAATAAGTAAATTCTCGTTTTTATGGGCAGAAAACTTTAGTTTGTGTAAAATAAACTTCTTATACTAATTTGCTAATTAATATTTTTCATGCTTGCAATGGGCAGAATGACCAAGGAGCACATACAAGTGAGTCTTGATTACTTTCTTCTCTGTTCAAACTTTCATTGTGTTCATCAACTTCTAATAACATAAGATTGTAATAAGAGCTAATAATATTGATGCCCTAACATCTCTTTACCAGGCTGTGTGTAGGGTGGTTGCCAAATCTTCTGAAGATGTTAAACAAAGTATTCGAAGAGCCCGCCAGAAGGTATTTTCGCATGCATACTTCTCAACTTCTATTGTGCAACCTATATATTCAAGTAGCTGATTTCATGTCATTGTACTGAAAAAAGGTTCCATATCCTTCGGCTTCAGAATTTCATGTGGTGGAGGCAAACCGAAATAACCACTTCATTCTCTGCTAAACGATGCATTCCATTTTCACTTTTCTTTTATTATTCTCTTTCAAGTTGCAGTTCTTGCCCTCCAAATCTCCAACATTGTGACTTGCACATTCTTTATCTGAAATTTCTTGACACATAAAATAGAATGAACTTGGGAACCATTACTTTCTCAAGTGGTTAATCATATTTTTTCTCATGAAATTTCTTTGCTGTGCGTGGCTTAACTTTGAATAATAATATTGTCACTGGTAGAAAATAATACTTCCTTCACAGTTATTATGTTGCTTATATCTATAATTATAATTTTACGTATGGGCAATTCCTTAATATCTTGTTCATTCGCATCCTGTTCGACAAAAGGCCCATTTGTATACAATAATCGCATTGTAGCGGGTTTAGTGGTAAAAAGTGTGATTCGTTCTATCATGAACTTTCCATCTGCAGTCATTGGACACTATAAAGAAAGCAGTGCCCAAAAAGAAGGACAAAGATAAAGCAGGTTCGAGTATTTCGGCAGACGATGCAAAAAGATTGGAGAAAGAAGTAAGTTATATTAAGCTGCCGATGAAACTCAGTCTTCGAAAGATTCAATTTTAACTCATTTGCCCCTTCATGCTCTCAGATTGACGACTTGACTAAAAAGTTCATCAAGACAGCCGAAGATATGTGCAAGGCCAAGGAAAAGGAAATCACTGTAGGATGAAGGTTGACTTTCAGTACTACCAAATTTCATGTACATTACAATTTTCCATCTTCTAACAGTTGAGGTTTAATAAGTTAATATTTATGAATTTGATTGTTTCTGTGGATTCATTTGAGGAATTCTACTGTTTGCACAAGAGAAAAAATAAAATTAGTTGAATCTATTTCCTTAGTTTGAAAATTTTCGACTTCTTTAACTGAGAATTCAGTAGTATGTTGCTGGAGTTCAATTTTAAAATGTCTGAGAATCTTTACTCGTGATGGCGCCAGGCTCCTCTCTTGTGCTTATGTCATCGATTTTGAGTTGAAAATCACAGCATTTGATAAGCTTGAGCCAAATCACTGGTACTTCAGTATGACCTTAGAACGTGTCAGTTATGCACGAAAAGTTAAGAAATTTATGGGGAAAAAAATAATGGATTGTGGGGGCAGTGTCAAAAGGTATTATATGTTTCAATTTCATCGCAGCACATTCCTCCTTGTCCACTATCAGTGGAAATGAATCTTTGCTTTATTCACCTTAAAGAGTGACAAGTCAACCATCTCTTGGCCGGCTTTTGGGGGATCGATTCAAATTTTTTTTTCCTCATATAGAAAAACTTTCGCCTCTATCCCTAAATTGAGAGGGGCCAAGGTGCCCGATCTCTAAATGAGTCAACTATGGAACGGCTATCGAACCGTATGACTCCGACTCTCGTGGATATGGAATTGAGATGTACACAATCGTTTTAAGCTCTTTTACAACAAATGGGTCAAAGTGAAAATCTAAAGAATGGTAAGAATGACTACCATTTCAAGTCTCGAACAATAGTTGTCCAATTGAATTGAAGTTAAATTCATTTTATTTTAAGCCCCTGTTGGAGCTCAATTCTTGCTTTCTCATTATTTTTTTCGACAATATTCATTTTTAACCACACATTCTTTATTAAAGTAATTTTACACGTAAATCAAAAAAATTTCATTCTTTTTTAACAACACATTTTGCATTAATCACTATTTCATAATATATTACTTCAATCAATTAATGGGGTTCAAATGGTGCCTAAGTTTAACTTAATCAAATCAAGTTAAAAATTATGAAGCAAAGCAACTTTCGTTTAAAAAAAAAAAAAAAACAAAAAAAAAGCTCTTTTCATCAACATCACATTCCAACATTGATTTAAATGCTATACATTCGCACAATATTCATATGTATCTATCCCAGTTTAAACCTATCCCTAATACAATTTCAAATATTCATCCCCATAATTTTATTAAGAAAGGAAAAAATGAATATGAATTTACAAAAATGGTTGAAAACATATCCGTAAGTCAATTACCACTTTTTAATGCAATGGCAAATGTCTAAGTACATTTTTGATCTTGAACTCTATGGACAGAGTTTTTAGGGAAGAAAAATAGGGGTATTTTTATAGGAGGTCTAGTCAAATCATTCAAAACTTGTTTAGGCCCAACTTACTATAAAAATGTTTTTGATGCCTTTTTTAGGTTAAAATGTCCAAATTATCATTGTATATATTGTTGAAATATCCCAAACGCCCTTAGTATATAATGATCACAATGCCCATTTTTCAAATTATAACAATTAATTTCCCTACTTTGCCTTTTTTTTTGAAATTCCAACTTTCTTCTTCTTCTTTAGTTTATCTATAATTTTGTATTTCTTTGTTTTTATTTATTTTTTATCTAGTTTTACTCGAAGTATAAAAAAGCACATTCAAAGAAAAAACCCTTATATTTCTGCATTTTATATTGGTAAAAATATTCTTCTCATTTTTAATTATTTTTTAAACTTTTAGTTTTTTTATTTGTAAATATATCTATTGCCATTTCTGTTTATTTAAGTATTTGAATTTATTTTTCGATCTCAAGTGACTTTGAAAAATAGAATCTCGTATATTTTAATTATAGAATCGAAATGTAGGTTTTAAACGACTGTGGTCGTTTAGTCGTTTAAAACCACTGTAGAAACGACTGCAGTCACTTTAGATTACTATAATTGATTATTTGCTAATTTTCTAAAATTTTACTATTCTAATTATATATATGGACTCAACAATATAGATTGCTATATTTTATGGTTGTGATTTTATTAATGATAATGAAGGAAAATGGATATGGAAACGAAGCGGGAGTGATGAATGGTGGAAGGAGTTTCAATATCTTCAGATACTTCATCCCATGATCCATATTGTGAAGTGCTAAACATTTGCAAATTTGATTCATCTTCACATGAAGTTGAGATAAGATTGCTTCTACTTGGAAATGGACAGTTTTCAATTCCCATTAAAATTACTTCAGACAGGCAAGTGCAATGGTTACTATCTCTCAACAAAAAAATTCTCATTGTCCAATTTGTGTAATCCTTGTGAGCAAAGATCTAGTTGACCATCCATAAGAAGAAGATAATGATTCATTTTATCAAGTGGAAGATGAAGTTCATTGTGAAATGCAATATAAAGGCAGCAATCTTCATTGTGAAATGGAACCGGATGATAGCAATGAAGTTGATTGGACTGAGAATATTAATTGAGATGAGTTGGAGAAATCCCAAGACAAAATGTGGATATTACTGAATATGGTAACACTATCGTTTTCTTTACACGTGGATCCTAGATGCTTCAAAACAATAGAGAAGAAAATCATTTTATCAATGAGCACCTTGTAGTTTCAACTCTTTCATCACATGTGATTCTCGAAGATGCAGATTTAGAAGATTGTAAAATTTCAATAGCAAAAAAGATCTTATGATGGAAGTCCACATGCTTGCAATAAAGTTCAACTTCGAATATAGAGTAAAGAAATCAAATAAGGAAGTCTATACATTTGTTTGCATAAATGGAAATTGCAAATGGCGTTTGCGAGCAACTAAATTCAAAAATTGTGATTACTTTCAAATTTGCAATTGTCGAAATAATAATAAGCAGGTAAGATCGTGAGTTGTTGGAAGACATATAATGTCTAAATTTCAAAACCCCAACACTATACATAGACCTACAGACGTCATTAATGACATGCGCCGAAAATTCAAGGTAAAAATGAGTTATCAGAGTGCACGGAAGTCACGAGAATGTGCTTTAGAAGTTTTAAGAGATTCATCTGAGGATAGTTATCCTAAATTGGGTATATGTTATCATATTTTGGCTAGAACTAATCTTGGAACAACATTGTCTTTAGAGATTGACAGTGAAAACCGCTTCAAATAATTTTTTATGGCCTAAAAAGCATCGACACGGACGTGAGACATGTTGACATGTGAATTTTTGAAAAAGTTCTGACACGATACGTCGCAGACACGATTACAATATTATTTTTTTAGTTTATTTTAATTTTGCATTCTAGAGTAATAATTTTTTTACACTTATTTTATCATATATAAAATGATAAATAAAAATCAAGCTTGACATTAAATTCATACATGTTTCTTAATAACACAAGTTCAAAAAGTAAAAACAAAATTAATTACATCATTTATCTTGAAACTCTTCAACATCTTTATCTTTGTCATTAGCAAATACTATCAACTCCAACTTAGTGATGGCAATTTACCCCGCCCTGGTGTCACCCCGCCCCGAATGGGCAAAAAAACCCGCCCCGTGGCGGGGCGAGGATGCCCCGCCCCGAACCCGCCCCGTGAAGAAAAAGTAAAAAAAAAAAAAATTAAAAATAATTTTATTTCTAAACAATTTATCCATTAAAAACTCATTTTAAATTTGTATTTTATTATCTAATAATAACATAATTCGAAACTTTCAAAATGTAAAAACTAAAAATAATAAATAATAAAAAAAATTAAACAGAGCAAAAAGTTGCCCCGTCCATGCCCCGCCCCGCCCCGCCCCGCCTGCACGGGACGGGGCGGGGTTTTTGCCAAACCGGGCGGAGCGGGGTGGGGGTGCCTTGCCCCGAACCCGCATCGTTGCCATCACTACTCCAACTCCGGTTCGTCTAGATATAAATTAGCAACTTCAAGCACATCAACATCTTCAAATTTATCAAATGCATATCCACTGATATCCCACATTTTAGTCTCTTATTGTGAGTATTGTGCACTCCTCCTAGACTCTTAGACGAAGATTTCTATGGACAAAAACCAAATCTTCCGCCCATTTGGAGTTAGCTTATTCCGTTTAAGAGAGTGCAAAAAAGAATAAATACTCCAATTTTGCTCACAACAAGATGAAGAAGATGGTTGTCCCAATAATTTTAAGGCATAACTTTGAAGCATAGGTGTGCAAGCACCATAAATAACCTACCACGTCTTCAGGTCCAAGCAGTAATGATCATGAATAGATTCAAAATCACAAAAGTCGTCTTCCATAGTTAAGAATTTGGCATACTCCTTATTCACCGTATTACGCCTTCATGTGACAAGTACCTCTTAAAGTATTTTAATCTTTCTCTTGAAATCTCTATATCTCTATGTGGAGCAAGTCGAGTAGAATCCTCATTAAGCCATTCCTCGCTATAGTACCAAAATGAGAAAAAGAAATTTAAAGAAATGACAATTCATTCAATAATTAACTAAAATATCAAATACTATGAAGTAAATAAACAATAAATGTATGAATTAGATTTAAAAATTACCTTGATTTATAGAATGAGATAGCAACGAAGTGGAGTGTTATTTGAACAACATTGTAGAATGATGATTCCTCGTCTTGAACATTTTTCTCATGCCTATAAATTGTTCCTCTCACTTTCTCAATCATTCTATCCCACATGTCGTAAACCAAGTGAAGGCAAGGTTTATCCGTGTCACAAAATTTAAGCATGTCATAAATGGGAGAAGTGAAGGAAAGAACATAACTTATAGAGTCCCACCAAAGATCATCAAGCACTTTCAATTTCACAAAACTTACCTTCGTCATGTCATCTTCTTGATAAAATGACTATTTTTCACTAATAACCAAAGCTTGGAGACCATGTTGGATAAGCTTAAATCTTTTTAACATGACAATAATATAAGCAAATCGTGTCTCCGCTACGAAAAGCAACTTCAAAGGCACAAATTCATTAAACATTGCTAGTCTCATGGAATGGTTCATGATAAAAGCATTATCAATGGAGTTCAAGCTGTCTATCAAAATGCCCATCATTGTCATTGCATATATCATATAAAAGGTAACTTTAATGATGGTAACTCGAAAAATTGAGATTTTATTACTTTTT